TTCGCTTTATCTTGACTTGATGCTTTATTTCCTTCGATTATACTATCACCAAGACCCTTAGCGGTAAGGTGAATTTCAGCATCAAGTACCCATGACAAATAGTTCTTTCTAGAAATGTCAAGTGCCACAAATTCAAGCTTCGACAATTTATTATATGCATGAACATTAATGTTACAAAAACATGTAAACTCATGAAGCATTGAAACGGTAAGTTTAATATATTGTCTACTTGTTTTAAGTATTTATTACTAGTTTCAATTAACATCAATGTTTAGTAATAATTTCAAGTGATATTTAATACAATGCTATTATTCTATTTGACACACAGAATGTATGACAAAAAAATCCTTACGAGTATTCTAACTAGAATGCTATCATATTGCTTAGGTTTTAATTTAGAGTTATAAGTTAGTAGTACATAAATAACATAACAATATAAACCTGAAGCGTATTGATTAACATGCCTAGTAAAGTATCATAATAATACCTAAAGCAAGTTATATATGCAGTAATTAAATTACAGATCAAAGATTTATGCAAGTCCTATTAGAGATGTTATAAACACATAAATTTATACCTGACTCTAAAAGAAAATTGATTGACTTTTAGGAAAAAAAGATTATCCTGAATTAAGTAGGTCTTAATTGGTTAGAGACTCGTGCTGATAACGTGTTGTAAAACAAGAAGAAAAATACAAGAATACTTAAACAAGAAGGTAAGACAAATGGTGATGGAAGTATAAATTTCAGAGTTTTATTTATTCTCTTCAAGTGTGTCTTTTGCAAGAGTGAAGACTACCCTTTTATAGGATGTTCAAACCATCCTTTTACAGCATTTGCCAATACCTTACTATAATATTTAATTAATACAATAAATGGATACATTACATTAGGATAGACTAAGAGAAATATCCATACAATTAAGTGAATTTGTAACACAAGATATATTTTAATCTTTTTCATACAAAAATTATTTTTTGACTTCTTAGATTATCATTTTTCGATTTTCTTATGTTTTTTTTTATTTCATTCATTAGTGTAAAGAAAAAATTTAAAACTAATTTTTTGCAGCAATATTGTAATTTAGTTTTTGTATTTGTAAAATAATATTAAAAAATGAGGCATCTATGATAAATTTTACAAGAAAATTAGTGTAACATAAATAAATTTGACCATCAAAATAATAAATTTACATTAGTCATTGAAACAAAAAGTTAAAAAAAAAATATGTGTGCGGAGGATCAAATATACCCCATGAATTATACTTTTTCAGAAAAATAATTAAAAGATTAAATTAAAATTAATTTGTTCACTTCCGTTAGAAGAAAAGGGTATATGCGAGTCATTTGTATAACAATAGGGGTATATATGAGCCACTTTCATAACGAGTAAAATATCAACTCTAAATGACAAAGTTGAGGGGTATATCAGATCCTTTTCCCATTTGTATTTTATAATTTCTATATGTATAAATGAGGAGAGAGGCGAGAGAGATGGCGTAATAACAACTAAAATTAATCTACGAGGCGTAATTAATTCAAACTATAACTATGTTACCTAATTAACTAATATATATTTGCTTATCCACGTAATTTTTACGGGAAATTTTTGCTTATAGCCACTTAAAAATAACTTAATTATGTTCTATAGCTATAATTTGATAATTTTGATTCGTAGCTACATGTTAGCGGGAAGAGAGAGGCAAGCGAGATTGGGAGAGGGAGGAGAGAGGCGAACGAGAGAGGGGAGACAAATTGTATATGTATATTTATCAAATAATTATATATATATATATCTTTGATGAGTGAGACAGGGAGAGGGAGGAGAGAGGCGAGCATACGGAGAGAGGGAGGAGAAAGGCAAGCGACAAAGGGTGTAGAGTGGAGAGAGACGAACTGTATATGTATATATGTCAGATAATTGTATATATGTAATTGGTATATATATGTATTTGTATATATGACAAGTAAGATTGGGAGAGAGGCGAGCGAGAGAGGGCAGAGAATGGAGAGAGGCTAATTGTATTTGTATATCTGTTATATAATTGTGTGTGTGTCATATATATATATATATATAATTGTATTAGGAAAAATGTTTGATATACCCCTTGGCCCTCAACTTTTCTAGTTAGAGTTAACATACCCCTCGTTATGAAAGTAGCTAATATATACCCTTAGGGGTCGTTTGGTACCAACATTGATAACGCAGGGGTTAGTAATAGGGATTAGAAATGCAGAGATTATTTTTTGTCAAGTGTTTTGTTCATTACTTCCCACTTAATTCTAGGTTTGATTTAAGACTCTACAAAAAATTTCTTTCCTATTATACCCTTGTGTTATTATGAGATTGTTTATTTCATGTAATTGAGTCAAGGTAGATAGTCGCCGGACAATTTTTTTATTTTTTTAGGATTTTCTATTTTAGTTAACTACTTAAGTTAAATATATATATATATATATATATATATGTATGTATATAAAAATAATTTTGAGGTATGACGTACCACTAAGGAGATCCTTGATGGCATGGTGTGTTTCTAATTTTTTGTTGGTCAAATATATCTTAAACTTAACATAGATTTAAGACTACTTATATTGTTCAATAGCTAAAGCTTATTTAAAAAAAATAGTTCAAGTGGTTAATTGACGAACTACAATGAATTAAAAAAAAGAAAAAATATTAGTGAAATCATTAAATTACACTAAACGAATTTGGAGGATTAAAAAGAACATTTATAATTATTTCAATATAAATAAAAAGAAAATCCAATTACAAAAGAAATTTGGGAAAATGAATAAAGGGATAGTTTGCCCTTTAGGGGTCTTATCCAAGGTTTAACAAACCTTGGATTAGTTATCATTCTATTTTCTAGGGATAAAATAAGACCACATATGGTGTATTAGCAAATATCCATGGATTAAATCAAATAAAGTAACCAAACAATGTATTAGATGGACTAAAATTTAATTCATGGACTATTCTATTTAATACCGCCTACAAAGCGAGTCCTTACTATTATACAAATGACTCACATATACCCTTACCATTACAAAAGAAGCTCACATATACCCTTCATCTAACGGAAGTGAAAAAATTAGTTTTAAATTTATTTTTGAAATTTTAAATTTTAACAAAACTCATTTTGGAGTATATATATGATCCTTCTAACAAAGTTCAAGGTATATTTTAATTTTTTTCATACAAAATTTATTTTTTGACTTCTTATATTATTAGTATTCGAGTTTCTTATTCTTTTTTTTTTTATTTCATTTATTAGTGTAAAGAAAAAATCTAAAACTAATTTTTGTGTGGCTATATTGTAATTTAGTTTTTGTATTTGTAAAAATAAATTAAAAAACGGGGCATCTATGATAAAATTTTACAAGAAAATTAGTGTAACATAAATAAATTTGACCATCAAAATTATAAAATATTTTTTTCAAAAAAATAATTAAAAGATTAAATTACAATGAATATTTTAACTTATGTTAGAAGAAAAAGGTATATGTGAGTCATTTGTATAACAGTAGGGGTATATATGAGTCACTTTCATAACGAGGGACATATCAGCTCAAAATGAAAAAAGTTGAGGGGTATATCAGAACCTTTTCCCATTTGTATTTGATAATTTATATATGTATAAATGAAGAGAGAGGTGAGAAAGATGACGTAATAACAGATAAAATTTAAGTTGTGAGGCGTAATTAATTCAAACTATAGTTATGCTAGCTAATTAACTAGTATATATTTGTTTATCTGCGTAATTTTTCCTAGTTTTAATCACCCTTAATATTCAGTATATTTTGGTCAATTTTATATATTATTTTTTATTTTTTTACTAGTTTTTTAACATGTGTTTTCCGTGTATATCATCTTTCAATACATGACGTTGTAACGTATAATTTCTGTCTTAATTTAGCTAAAACTATTTTCATTTTAATTTTCATTTTAGTCGGTCTAAATGAAAATAATTTCTTTTTATTAGTAATAATTCAGTTTCAAAATTTTCATTTTACTCTTAATGAGATAATTTATAAGTACAAGAATTTTTGTGACTTATTTCAAACCATAAATTTTAAAAGTCTTCATTTTTCTCTTTTAACTCCATGACTAACTAAATTGAAGGATATCAATGTTACTAAAATAAAGATTTGAATAAATAATTATACATAAAAGAATAAACTACAATTTATTGTGATTGATGATTAATTTAGTCCAACACCTCATAATTTCATGAGGTTTAAATTAATGAATTTACTATCCACGAGCCGATTGATCATGTTTCACGTCAATCATTGATTGAACCATCACTGATACTCTTCTGGATTCTAATCAATAATAGTTGTCCATTCTTGATTTGTCATACTTCTTAATAAATAATAAATAATAAAAATAATATTACTATATTATTCTATGACTATATTAAATTTAATATTTTGAGAAATAATATTTAATAACAAGTATAAAATAGACACAAAAGATAAATTATCTCTTGATATTTAAAATTAGACAAGTATTACTAAACAACTATCTTTATAGTACCCAACTATTATTAGACGGAGCACTTTCTCCATCCCAAAATAAGTAATATTTTAGCAACATAAATCTGTTCCAAAATAAATGTTAATCTTAAGAATTTAAGACAAATTTATATGTTTTTCTAGTTGTATCCTTGTACTTCATTTTTTAATAGTAATCAATGCTCAAGAAACAAGTATTAAATAGATATAATTCAGTAAACAACCCATTATATTTATTGACTTCTTAATGGATGAGATTTTTACTAAAATAACATACTTTTAATGAAAATATTTTTTAGGAAAAATGGCACTTATCTAGAATGAAAGGAATAAGAAAAAGATCACCTGGCTTTATCGACCATGAAACTCAAAGCACTACTAAAAGGATATTTTACAGAACTTATGATCAACATTATACTTAAATTACTTGACTTTGTTTCCCTCCATACTTTATTGACTATTTACATAATAGCACGTCAAATAAAACTTATATACATAAGCTATTTTTCATTTCACCATTATATAATTAATAGTAGAGACATCAAATGTAAGCTTAGATGCCCCGGTGAAATTTCAATTAGATTGCAAGCTAATGCTTGTATATATTCAAGCAGCAGCTACTTGATTAACATGTTTGGCTTCAAGCATCTTCTCGTATTCCTCGATTGATCTAAACAGCTCTGAGAAGTTTCCCTTCCCGAAGCCTCCACAACCGCCCTTCTGATAGACTTGTCCGTTTTCATCTTTGAGCATGCAACCGATTCTCTGAATTATTTCTATAAATATTGTTGGCCTGCAGAAAAATACAATTACAGTGATTGACAAACCATCGTTTTATGATACACGGAAGTTACGTTGCAAAACTACTGCGGTTAATTACAACATAGCTCAGCACTCAGCAGCAAAGAAAAGGTTTAATATGTATTGGTACAAATCGGTTAAGTACATCTCGCATGAATTGGTACCACAGCCATTCGAAAGCAACGTCTGGCAATACTCTATATGTTTTCCTGAACCTTTAGAAGAGGTACTAGAATAAGGTTTAATTATCGGCATGAAAACAAACTTCTTGTTCTTGTTCTTTTCCTGTTTTTTCATCCTTGTGTTTGTCCTAACAATTAAATAAAGATATATGATGATAAACGACTATTCCAAGCGTTATTCACCCTAGTCCATGTCAACATGTTTTACTCTTTATAAACCACCCCTGAATCGGTTTCCCCATATCCCTAAACAAACTTAATACCTTCAAAAGAAAAACTTTCATTGTGAAAATACCGAAAATGTTAAAAGAGTTCCATCTGCCTCTCAGCACTGTTTATTGTTTCATTTCAAAGTACATAGGCAGCTAGAAGAATGTTGTGAACACGGATGGCCCTGAGGCTGGCCAAGCTGCTGGGCCTGGGGCTAAACCATAATGAGGCCCAAGAATTAAATAGTCCAATACTGGATTTGATTCGGATCTAGGTTGAGTAAAATTTATATAGTTGTCATCTACGGTTTTGTGAAATTATGCATATTGTAAAAAAAAAACTATCTGATGCTCTCATCTCTTTCTAGAGTCTAAACCTCTCACCCTCATTCTTGTCTCTATCTTTAGTTACTTTGTTATTTTCATATTTCCATTATAATTTAATAGTTGAAGTGTTGTCACTGTAATTCGACTATCAAGTAATTATGTAATACTTGAGTATTTAAGTTGAGAATTCAGGTTTGTTACAAAGAATCAATCTCATCTGTTGCAAGTGTGGAAGAGTCTAGAGTCGCACAATGGATTTTAGTCAACAGCTTGAGAAACCTGAGACTCATGGGGTAGTGTTTCATGCACAAGCATATCTCAATTGTTTTGAACTTATCTGCGCGGACTCTTCACTTTTGATGCCCCACCTGTGTCGGATTCTCCACATATACACTACTTTTGACGAATCCGACAACATAGGTTTTGAATAATAATTCAAACTTTGACCTATTCCTTTTGTTTGTAAGAGCAGTTCTTTTTTCTTCATAATTTGTTTGACCTTTGTTCCTATTGTTCATATTCTATTTAAATTTTCAACATGTTGAAGATGAGAATTATATGGATCACAGACTTAGCCTTCTTCAACTCAGAAGCTTCCCTAATTATCAGCAAATATAAAATCTAAGCGTGAACCTTTTTTCGAGAATTACTCCCAAAGAACTTATACTAGACTTACCAACCTTCATCCGAAACAGTCGGTTAATCACAAGAAGGCTGATCAATCAAGAGTCCTCGGTACTTCCGTCAACAGACACACTCTTTAAGGAGTTCACATTTAGTTACATGGCAGGGGTGATCTCTAAAGCTAATAGGCCAGTGACAGAAACTGGTCGGAAATATAATGCAAACTTCAATTACTCTGGTGTGTGACTCTGCTACAGTTCAGTGTTGCTGTTTGATGCCTTACCGCTACTGTCTCAGCTAACTTTCAGACATCTCCTTACAATATTTCTAAATGATTCAATATTCACCAACTCCCAAGGCCCTAATTCTTTCCCCTTTGACAGTAAACATATATGAAGGTACTATCCTACAGACACTAGACTCTCGACACTTTCTAAGCAAGAATCAATTCTCATGGTCCAGGTTTCAAAACAGCAAATACACTAACAATGTAAACATAAAAAACACCTACACGTTCTTCTCATTTTAGACGTAGATTAATAGCCAGACAAAAGAGTATGCAACCTACAACAATTAGCTAACATAACGTGAAATATTTATTCAAACTGTCAGTTTGAATAACTTAAGAATATCATAATGTGTTATGGCAAAACTAATTGATAGGTAAAACAATTCTAGTCGATATAAAGAGTGATAACATACCTGTCTCCCACAGGCTTGGTAAATATCTGAAGCAGAGTCCCCTGATCATCCCTGTCAACCAAGATTCCCAAATCTTCACACGCCTGGATTTGTTCGTCACTGAGTACATCCCCAGCCCTACTTTTCAAATTCTTATAATAAGTAGGCGGAGGTGAAGGCATGAATTCAAATCCCCCAACTCCACTCCTTTTCCTCATTTCCCTCAAAGTTCTGAATATATCCTCTGTAACCAAAGCTAAATGTTGCACTCCTGCCCCTTCATTATGCTCTAAATAAGTCTGAATTTGACTCTTCCTTTTAGTTCCATATACCGGCTCATTCATCGGAAGCAACACTGTCTCGTCATTGTTTGCCAACACAACCGAGTTCAGCCCGCTCTCAGCAGTTCCAACATCTTCAGCTGTAAACTCCGCAAATTCATGAAACCCCGTAAACGCCTTGATGTAATCCACTACAGGACCCAGCTCCGGCACATTCCCAACAGCGTGGTCCAGCCGGTGAATCCCATAATCCAGTTCCTTGAAGGATGATGTTTCATCCATTGCTTCAAAACCTGTTGGGAATATTGATATATAAATACAAGTGTTATCATCTCTAAATATTTATTTATGTGTTTAGGTAAGGCAGTTCAAATGAATTAAAACAGGACCAATTTCTTACCACCACTCATGAAAGTAATTATATTTTCAACTTTGGAGCATAATATATATAAAGTAATAACTTTCTTTAATATTATCGATGCACGGGTATATACTAGTTTGGGTTTAGGGAAAAAATATCAAGCATAACGTGTACTGGACGTTCATTAAATGAACGAACAACATAATTAAATTAATGAATGTGATTGACAAGTCTTTGTTAAAGCAAAACATAAACAAATAAAAGTGTTCCATAAATGGATTCACTGAACAAACTATTCGTATGTCCACTATTACTCATAAACAGAAAAGAAAAAAAAAGGTAGTATAACTGTATAACGTACTGTATGGTCATTAATAAAAGTTAAAAATTACATTAGTTCTAAATTAAATTCTACTTATGGAACAGACGGAATAACAAATAATTTAAATAAAGTATTTTAGAGCGTTGCTAGTAGTTAAAATAAACTGAGAATATAAATATTATTTATAAAAAACACACATTATATATAAGTCAAAATAACAAATTAAGATAAGAGAGTATAAAAATTCACTTTTTTTAGAAGTAACAGTAGAATAATACTCCCTAAATTCTTTTTAGGGGTCAATTTTTTTTGGGAAAATTACACGGTTAAGCAAACTTATACTACTTAATTACTCACCATGGTTATAGTTTGCTATAATTACCACTCGTGACTAACATTATACATTAATTACGTGGGCTGACTTTGAGTTTGTATATTAGCCACGTTTGTATAGGTATAATTCGCCATATTTGTATAATTCACAACCAACAATTCTTTGTTTGATTTGTATTTGTATACGATTATTTATATTTGAATATGACGATGATTTCCTTTGGTTTTTCGGTTTTGTCATCATCTACATTCAATCTTTTTGTGTATAACTTTTTAAAGTTTGTATAAACGTGTAGTTTTGAATTTTGTATAATATAATTTATATAATATAATTTGTATAATATATTTTGTATAATTGTTTAAAGTTTATATGTTTATGATTGTATCAATTCGTTATTTTGAGTTTTATTATATTTGTATAATTTCAGACTTTAAATTACTCAATTATACAAAAATATGTGAATTATACCAACGTACATGCGAATTATACAAACGAGATGTGAATTATACAAATTATTGTCCTCTCTCGCTCGCCTCTCTCCTCCCTTTCCCAATCTTGCTCGCCGCTCTCCTCCCTTTCCCAATCTCTCTCGCCAAAATATACAAATACATATGTATAATATACAATTATCTAACCGATATACATATACAATTCACCTCTCTCCTACTCTCTGCCCTCTCTCCTCCCTCTCCCATACTCTCTGCCCTCTCTCCTCCCTCTCCCAGACTCGCTCGCCACTCTCCTCCCTATAACATGTAGGGAGGAATTGTAATTAGCAATCTATAGCTATGGAGCGTAATTAAGCTATTTTTGAGTGACTCAATTTTTGTTTGGCACATACTATTAAGAAAATAATGATTAATGCACACTCACTACATTTTCAAAAACATTAATTCAAATTTAACAAATTGAGGTATAATAATTAAAAAAAATTATCCAAAAAATCAAATTAAAAAATACTTAACAATAACGACGGAACGGAGGGAGTAGAAATGATTAGAGGTGTGTAGTGTCAGAAAAAAGAAGAGACGTAAATGCTAAACCTGGTAGGAAATTGAGGCTATCCACATCTTTAACAAAACTCACAAACCGCAAAACGACGTCGCCATATAGATGAACTTCAGCAACAGCCACATGCTCATCAATCGTTACAGGTTCAAACCGAGGTTTCGCCCCACGGGAGACACTGGCGGAGAACGCCAGGTAAGCATTCTCAACCTCCAACGCAACAGCACGAACACCGAGCCCATGCTTCGCCGTAAAATCCCGATGAGTAGACGTTGAAAAACTAGGTATACCTGCCGTTGACGGTACTGAAATTGACGGCGAATAAGGAGCAGTGAAAACAAACTGAAGTTCGCCGGAAACAGAACGGAGGAGATAAGAAGCATGAACGGAGTTTCCGGTGGAGAGGTCTGATTTTGCTGTAATCGGCATGCCGAGAGACCATGAGAAACGACGAGATGTATTGGTTGCATCGCCGCACCAGAATTCGATGTGGTGGAAGCGTTTAACGGAGAAGAAATCGGAACGGGGATTAGCGCGGATGAATTTGTTGAAGCCTACTAGCTTGAAAGTAGCGCCGGTTGCATCTGTGGTGGTGGTGGAGAGACTTTCTTTTCCCATGCCCATGGTATTTTAGAGTTTACTTTAGACTTTGACAGAAATTTATTGTTAAGAGGTGATGTGAAGTGAACAGAATGGTATTTGAAGCGAAAGGATTTTGAGCGTGGGAATGAAGATAGTCTTGGCACGTGTACTGGAATGATTTTATACGTCTCTTCCACTTGTTTTGTGTTACATTATCGACACGTGTATAAGATAGTGTTGACACATCTACTTGATTTTCTTTCATTTTTCATGGTATAATTTTTTATTTTCTTTAAACTATAATAAATAAATTTTAAAAATGTTTCAATTACATTAAAATCATTATGTCTTATTAATTTAGGTATCATATTTATTGTATTCATATAAGAAAATAAATTTATTACACATAAAGTACAATGAATACATCAAAATCATTGTATCTTACTAAATTTAGGTGAGTATCGTATTTGTTGAATTCATATAAAAAATAAATGCAATATATATAAAGTACAATGTATGTGTATGATTAATTGTAATATCTTTTTTGTTAAATGTTTCATTATAAAATAAATTCAAGAAATGAATAATTCATTTTAAAATAAATGTATTATATATAATGTTCATTGTTTCTTAATAATCAAATAATATTCATTCTATCTTTACTAAAAACATCCAATGTATATGATAGTAAAAGAATAAACTATATAAGCAACACATCATTGAAACCATATTCAAAAATAACTTCTCATTTAAAAGGTTTCACAAAATCAACAATGACATGTCAAATATATAAAACATTATGTGAGTACAAAAGAGATCAATCCACATCCACTCAAAAAGATTTGCAGTTCACTAAATTGTCTTAGATATAATTATACTTTTAAAATATTAATAATTTATAATATTAATGCGACTATATATATATCGAAATGAGTGATTTTTTTTCCATTAGCCCAAGTCGAGACTGGAGAAAAATATTATCTTAAAGAGATCATTAATTTACCACCTATTAATTTAGTGAGGTTTTACTGTAATAAATATATTTTCTTTATTCTATATTAACTGAATTTGTAAGCCATCGCATATTTATTTTTAAAAAAATATTCAAGGACATAATTTAAATTGTATTTTTCATTTTTGTTTTTGTAAAATCATAAATATAACTTTGTAATTAGTGCAATTTATCTTCTAAAGAATATAAAATTTCATTAAAGGAAAAGACAAATATGAAAAAAATTATATTCAAATATCCATCTAATTTTGAACAATTCAATTATTTTGAAGAATGAATTCGCCCCCCCCCCCCCCCCTCCCCCCTCAAATAATCAATCCCAGAAAGAATGTCACATATTATATTTAGTAAAAAACTTAACTATAAAATACTTATTTTATCGTTAATTAAATGATTGATAGTCACACAAACATATATGACTTATTTTAGATTGCAAGTTTCAAAAATCATTCTTTCATTATTAAACTCTATAATATATTACACGCATAAACTTACTTTTCAATATATAATAACAGATATATTTATAACAAGGCAAAAGGGTTTGGTGGACCCTTGTACTTGTATCAATTTGTATTCTAGACCATTCTATTTAATCGTTTATCAACTGAACTCTTAAACTCAATTAAAATGAAACTATTATGCCCCTCCAACCAGGTGTGTCCTTTACGTAAATGACATGTCATATCACGTCAGATATATTAATGCCATATCATAATTATTTCATAACTAGTTTTTAAAATTATTAACCAAAAGTATTTAATAAAAGGTAAAATAATAAAATTTTAATTTATTCTTTAAAGTAAAACTCCATGCATTTGATGCTCCACATTTTCATTATTTCAAGCCAAAATCTACCGGAGAAATCCATCGCCGCCGTCGTTGTCACTTTTGTTGGCGAAATCACAAATACTCTCTCCCTCACCCGTCTTCATCTTCGCCGCACACCATCACCATTTTTCTTTCCTCCTTCAATCTCCACAAAACCAACAACCTAAGCCACCGCACCACTAGATCAGACCGAAAAACCTCTTCACCGCCATGACCTCACGCCCTCACCCACTTCGTTCTCCTCTCCACTAACCAGTGCCGCCTCTCTCCCACTCCACTGCGAAACAGTGGTCTTCGGCGTGCACCACCAGCACCGCTTTCTGCGATTTAGTGGTCTCCGGCGAGCACTTGGTCTGCTTTTTCCCTCCGCGGTGAATCGGTGGACTCAAGGAGATGATCTGCTAAATAGATGTTAATAAATTGCGGAGAAGAAAAAAAAAATTGGTTAGGGGATGAAATGGATGAAAAGGAGGGGGTAGTGGGTGAAGAAGAAATGACTCTTTAATTAATTGTTTTTAAAAAATTATATCTTTTTAATTTTAATATTTTTTTAACCCAAAAATGCTATTCACTCGCTTAAGAGGCGTGTAGTTACACACTTTTGTCAACTCAGACATTCTAATGCCACATAAGCCTAATCAATTGTCAGAGAGATTTGTTAAATTGTGTTTTATTGAGTATAAGAGTTCAATTGACAAATGATTAAGTAGAAGAATCCAGAATACAAATTGATACAAGTACAATGGTCCACCAGACCCTTTGCCTTATAACAATGATATCTTTTCCATTTTTCATGTTATAGGGTGTGTTTGACACAAAGATCTTTGTAAAAAAAAAAAAAATTATGCGCTGATTTACATATTTGAAAAATATTTCCTTTAAGAAAATAAGCTTCTTAAAAATGAAAGAAAATAACTTATCTAATGAAAGTAAAGTAAACAAGTTAATATAAGAGATATTTCAATGTCCCCTTCTCATCCACTCAATCTCACCCCTTTGTCTATCCTATTTCCCGACACCCCCGAACCTCTACTCTTAATTTCTATTCGCCTCCACTCTCAAATAAATTAGTTAAGAGTGATTGTTCTAAAATGATATTCAAAATTTAGAGTTTGTTGTGAACTTAAAACACCATCTATTTGTGAAATAATTAGGCAAATCGATCGTTCACATTATATATTGCACTTACATAACAAAATTTTTAACTTTTCAATTGCACAATGATTATTTTATTTTTACAGTGATGTTTAAAAGAATTGATATACACTTTATGTACAATATTGCAAAACTCCTTAGTGTTTTTTTTTTTATATATAATATTATCTAAAATTTTGACATACAATATTATACATTCAGTATATAAATGTTATACGAATTTATAAAAAGTATTTACATACTCATATATCCTTCTATATAATATTATACAAAACTGATTCAGTTATTTTTGTTGAATTCAAGCACTATATCCATCTTATACACCTTAAAAACTTCATCAAATCATCCTAAATTTCAAGTGTAAATTTCATATATGACATATATTATAGTATTATTTTCAAGTTATAGTAGTAGATTTAGACTTTCAAGCTATAACATTAAAAATTTCAGGTTATAACAAATTTACAAAAAAAGAAATATTTTTATTAATTGGAAAAAACTTTTAAAAAAAAAAAAGATAGACGGAAATTTTTAAAAAAAATGGAATTAGAAATAATAAAGAAAAAAACTGAAAAAATGGAAATAGATGTATTAATTAAATTTGAATTGATTGATGATAATTTTTAATTAGCATAAATTTAGGAGATTCAAACTAATTAGGAATATTTGTTTTCCTTAATTCACTCTAATAAGTTAAAATTAATTAAAAAGTCTTATTTTATCCATTTTCAAAAAAACAAAATAAAACCAGATGTAATTGATGTTGGTGCAACATTTACTGATCTCTGTTTTAAATTGTAAGATTCGTTTATTCCAGTATTTATACAGATTGTATACAACTTCATACATCTTTAAAAATACTTAATCCACGCTTGTTAAGACAATATAATTTACAATTAGGTTGTAAATTGTCCAGGATGACAAAAATGTAAAACAAAAATGTAATTGAGGTTGTTACAAAATACAATTATCACTATTTTACATTGGCATAATCGTTTATACAAGGTATTTATACATGTTGGATACCAACTTCATTTATTTTTTATTTTTTTATTTTTTTGTGTTAGAATATGAATTTGGATGCCAAAGGTGTACATTTTGGATACCAATTATAAGTCAGAGTTAGTTCATGAACTCTAAATTAGTAGTATGATTTCAGTCTAGTTAATAAGACATTGTAAAATCATAAACTCTAAATGTTGAATCCAATTTGTATGCATTTTGTATATAACTGTTATCCCGAGAATTATTATAGTCAATGTGTAATTTATCTTTAGAATGGTGTATCCATTTGGAATGCAGTCTGTATATAACTAGTATCCTGCGATTACAATAGTCAATCTGTAATTCATATGTAATTGGTATCTTTTTGAAATAAAATAGTGGATATTATATATATCAAATACTTAAAGTTGTAACAAACACAAAAATATCGTCCAAAAGTAAAAAAAAAAAACTTGTAATTCTAAGAAGTCTAAGGTGCAATCAACTATCTCAAATTTGATCTCCGTGGTCTTGGTGTGAGATAATTGCTGGTATTCGGAGCATGTTCTTTTGCTATGCGGGGTCCATCAAATTTGCTAGCAATAGTTTCAGTTACTTCACTCTCACTGGTCGCGCCATCATCATTCTTTGTTTTTTCATAATGTCATATGATTGTGGCATATCTTTGACGATGGTACTTTGCATCGATATCAAAAGAACGCATATCAAAAACTCCATTACTGATGTATTCAGCAGATAGACACGTGTACAAACCACAATCACTGAAAAAAATTTGAAAGAAAAATCATTTTATACCATTTTCATACCAATGTTAAAAATTTAAATACATTAATGAAGAAATTGAAAAAGAAACCTTCCTATTAGAAAAAATCTCGATTTCATATCAATATTAGTCATAATTCATACAAAACAGAGTAATTTAACAATTCATACCATTTGCATACCAATTTAACAACTCATACCATTGGGCTACTAATATCAAACCAATTTCATACCAATGTCAAAACACAATTCATACCATTTGCATACCAATATTATATCACATTTCATATAATATCCCAAAATCATATATTAAAGAGAGATTCATATAAATATTATTCACATTTCGTACAA